TTCCTCTGCTGGGGCCAGGAGATCCTGTAGACGCCTGGGCCAGCCTGACATGGCCAGGTCATAGAGCCAAGAAAACTTCCAGAATCAGGACACTCCACTAGGGCCCTGAATGAGCAAGCCTCTACCCAAAACTGTCCTTCTGGCTTCCGGGTCTTTGAGGAGAGGGACGCCCAGGTCAGCCGATGGTGACCCAGGAGGGCCCATCTGTTGATCTCTCCCAGAGAGAGACCATGTCCCCCAGCCCCCAAATGGGTGACTGGATAGGCCCTAGCCCCCACCACCCACTGCCTGGCTGGAACCTTCCAGAAGCCATCTGCCCTGGTCACCCTGATGCTGAGTGTCACAGCTATGGGAGGCCGCGGGGCGTGTGGGAGCATGGTGGGGGCCGGGCCGCTCTCCTCAATGCCCTGACAGACCCCTTCCTGAGGCAGACCTGCTGCAGGCCCTCCATCCTTCCCGGGGCAGCCCCCAGCCCTGGGAGCTGCCCTTCAAGGTAAGGAGGCAGCAGGACTCAGGTGCTCCCACACAAGGCTGTCTCTGGATTTCTGCCCAGACCATGCAAGACTCACTTCCCACGGCTCCCCTGCATGGGACCTGCCTCTGTCCTCTCTCTGCTGACACCTGACAATCTGGTGGCTGTTTTTCCCAGCGGGGCCCTGGAGGTTGGGCTGGCCTAGGACTCAGGGAGGGGAGGGGCGTAGAGAGAGTTTCTGGCAGGGGGAGGAGCTCTGAGCTGGCCCCTGCTGCACCTGCCTGGTGTTGTCAGGCTGCAGACCCGGCACCCCCACTCCCTCTTTGGGTCCCAGTGTCCCACTCAGGGGCATTAACCATGCTGCCCCCAACCCTCTGCTCCAGGCAGGTGCTGGCCCCTGGCCACCTGCCCAAGGAGGCCTTCTGTCCCAGTACGCCCGGAGACGCGGCTGATCCGGGTCTGGGGAGGGCTCAGGGGAAGGGGATGAGGCCTTCAGGGATGTTCCAGAATATTTTGTCTAGCAGCTTCTCCTTGACCCAGGGCACCGCCTTTTCCCGACTTAAATCCTTTGGGGACCCACCAGCCAGTCTCCTCAACACCTTCCAAGGGAGGAGCATCTTGGGGTGAGGTGAGCCCCGGGGCAGGTGGCAGGGCCTGAGGGGGTGGGGTGGGGTCCAGTGGGGCTGCCCCTGCCCAGCAGCTCAGGGCCCCCTCAAAGCCCCTTCCCACACACTGGGAGGAGCTGATTGCCAAGCAGAAGGTGGGTGGGGCCCACAGGGCCCTGCGAGTCCCTTGTCTGAGGCTGGAGGACACTGTCAGCTGCAGGCCAGTGAGAAGCCACCAGGCCCCTGGACAGCCTCAGCCCTGGAGAGCCATCCCCGGGCACACTGCCGGCCCCCCAGCCCCGAGGCGGAGATCAAGCCTAGCCCTGGGCCCCAGGCTTGTATCTGACCGGGCAGGCTAGAGGCAGGGGAATGGCCCCGATGACCTCTCAAAGATGAGGCCAACTCCTGACATCCCCGCGGCCCGAGGCAACTGGCATCCAGAGCCCCTTCCTGCCCCAGCCGTCCTCAGGCAGATGCCCATCGTCAGCCTCACGCCCGGGCTGCAGGGCCCGGGGGGTCTCAGCCTCGGCTCTGCATCCAGAGCTATCTGGGTGCTGCGGTGGGCCTGGAGGGGGGCCGGCCTGACCTAAGGTCCTGGCGTGGGGCTCCTGAGCGACCACCACTTGTGCCCTGGGCTCAGAGCAGGCGCCCCGCCCTCACGGGTCAGCCCCACCCACCCGTCCCTCTGAGAGCGTGAAGCAGCACGTGGTCTGCCCGCGGGGTGGGGGGGCCAGGAGGGGCCTCATCACCGCCAGCATCCAGCACGGACGCACCCCCCATCCCCCATCCCCACATCAGCTGAGCAGGGGCCCCGCGGTGGAGATGGCCCAGCTCAGAGCTGCTGACCACACAGGGCCCAGCTCAGAGCAGTGAATGGCGGCGGGGGGACACAGAGAGAGCAGGGGGAGTCCTGTGACTGCGGGAGGGAGGGAGGGAGGGACGGCTCCTGGACGCGCCCTCCCTCCTCCCCAGGCCTCTGTCCTGCACGGTGGAGGGGGTGGGGCAACAGCCAGACCCTACCTGGACCCCGCAACAGATGAGTCACCGCTCACCGCGCCTCCTCCTCTACCTGCCGGCCCAACAGATCCCGGAGCACCTATTTCCTGAGCCCCGAAATTGTGCCTCAGGCCCCCACCCACCCCACCTCTGCTCAGGGTCCCGTTGAGGAAGGAATGAGTAAGGGCCTGTAGGGGCACCCCTTGGAGGGCCTGAGAGGGTCTGGGGCAGAGGGGAGGGAGGGACCCGGGGCCCTCTGCACAGATGGGGAAGCTGAGGCTCAGGAAGGCCGGCCACTATTCGGGACCACCCTGTCCCTGCCCAACCAGGTCACCCTGGTCAGAGGGAGCTGCTCCTACAGCCATTCGTGTGGCTGCCCCAGCAGGAGGTGTTGGGGGGCCTGGAGGGGCAGCATCCAGGCAGGCAGGGAGACCAGGCACTGGAAGACACCCCTCCAGGAGCCCTGACCCCACCCGCAGGAACCCAAGATAAGAGTGGCCACCCCGCCCAGACCCAGGGCCCTCCATTAGAAGGCCCAGTACTCCACAGCATTTATGGAAGGCCACCTGGGCCGCAGGGGCCCCGAGCAGCTGAGTCCCAAACCTCACCCACCACTGCAGCATCTTCCGCGCCCCACTGCTGGCGGCCACCTGGGGGAGAAGGGACATGGGGACCATCTGGCCTGCTGTCCAGTGGGGAAATGGAGGAGGAGGGACTCGGTCCCCGGCGCTGGGTCTGAGGGCCAGACACTGGGGTCCTCAGGAGCCACTCTGTCCTCAGGAAGACCTCGTTCCACCAGGATCTGTGGGACCCCCAGGGGTCCGGCAGCAAGTGCCCCTCCTGGCAGGTTAGCCCAGCCTGCCCAGACGAGAGCTGTTCAGGCCCATATCTCCAGGGTCCTGCCGTCCTGGGTCTCCCCCCACAGTCTTGGTCCCACTGTCCTGGGTCACCTTACTGCCTTGCCCTGGGGTGTGCTCACCCCTGGTAGAGGTGTCCTTGTCTCGGGGCGGCCTGGCCTGATAAGGGACCTGCAGCCCAGCCACTCAGAGAGCCTCAGGCCTCCCTAAAGCCAGAGGGCTGCCAGCCGGCGAATGGGCAGGAAGCCCAGTGCCCCCATGGAGGTGCAGCCGAGTCCCCCAGGCCTTCCTCCACAGTCCTCTTCCTGCCCCTGTCCCATCCTGAAAGGAACTCCCAGATGGATTCCTGGGCCAGGCTGGGCCTGGGGCAGCCCAGGGTCCGTGCAGGGTCCTGGGGTCAGCACCCCCAACTCCTGCCTGTTCTAGTGGACTGTCATCCTATGGCCCATACGTGGATGGCACTGAGGAGCCAGGCTGACAGGAGGCCAGGGCAGAGGCTGGGGGTCTCAGGCCTGCCTCTGCCCCCTGCCCCGCACCACCGCCCCCCTCCCCTCCTTACTCCCACCTCCCTCTCAGGTGTCTCCTGTCTCTCTCTACACCACCCCCTCACATTGGCCTCTGCCCGGGAAGCCAACAGGCCCCTGCCAGCCCGGGCCCCCGTGAAGAAGCAGGAGATCCTCCACGTGGCACCGTGCAGCCGGCAGCTCCCCCAGGCTGCCCTGCTGATGGAGCCCCGCAGTGCTCCAGTCTGCGCTCCCCCACCCCCGGGCCACTGGGGAGGGGGCCTCACGTCCCTGGCCTGGGTATCAGGACTGCAGAGCAAAGGTGCCGGGGAAGAAGGGGCAGGCTCCAGGCCCGCGGGTGCCCAGCCCCTCCCAGCAGCCCTCTCAACCCTTCCCACAGAACTGCCACACCTGTTTTTCCAGGGTTTCTGAGACCCCAGCCTCAGAAGGGGAGACAGGGGCCAGTCCCGCCAGAATAGGTTCAGCCACCTGCAATGGCCCCAGGGCCTAGCCAGGGCCAGGAAGCCCGTGGGGGCTGAGGTGCAGATGTCCCCACCTTGCCAGGGCCCCTGTGGACCTGGTACCGCCCTCCTGCGCTCACAAGGTGGGTGGCAGTGCCCATGCTGGTCCCATTCAGGGAGCTGACCTGACCCTATGCCTCCCCCTTGATCACTTCTGAACAGCTTTGGGGCCGTTCCAAAGCCAGAGACCAGGGCTGCCAAGAATCCAGCTTCTGGGTGAAGCCCTGGGCCAGGAGCCTGCACCCCCCAAATGGGCTAGGCCTGTGTCTGGAACGGGCGGCCCCTGCTTCCCCACTGACCTCAGCTAGAGCCCCGCTGTCTGCACCCCACATAGGAGCTCTCCCCTGCTTCATTTTCCCTCCCAGGCTCCCCGCCTCCCACAGGACAGCACACCTCTCCCGCTCACAGTGGTCAGAGCTGTGGACCCCACTCAGCCCTGAGCTGGGGCCCCGCCGGCCTGCGATGGCCTCTGGCTGAAGCAGAGGGACAGGTGACACCCCATGAGATGTGAACAGGGCCCAGGACCTGAGACACAGCCCATCCACCCAGGGAGGCCTCCGAAGGTGGGGGTGCGCCTGCGTCCTGGGCTGGCAGGGAGACGCTGGGGCTGGGAGCAGTCCCCATCTCAGAGTCAAAACCAGGTGACAGCCCGAGTCCACGTGGTGCCCCTGGGCCAGACCGCCGGGCATATCCAGTGTGGCTGCCACCACACACAGAGGTGGGCCTGTGCCTGAGGCGAGGGGGCCCCAGGCTGAGAAGGGGACCCAGGGGGCCACCGGCCAGAGTCCCAGCAGCTGGCTGGGTGGGGAAGGCGTGGCCAGCATGCCTGGCCTTCGGGCCCGATTTCGGGGGCAGATCCGGTTACCTTGGTTATCTGGGCCCAAGTCCGCCATCACCATGCAGCCCGCTGGGTCTTGCAGCACCAAACTCACGCAGTGCAAAGCCCCCCCCAGGGTCACTGGGCTTGGCGAGAGGGTGAGGGTCGGGCTTGTGTGAGGGGTCCCAGCCCCAGATAAGAAGTGACCAGGGGTCCCAGGCGACGCTGTGCCAAGACACACACTCCCTATCCCCGTCCAGGCTACTGGGCGCATCTGGGACTGGAGACGGGACCAGCCTTGCAGGAGCCTCTGCCCGGCCTCCGCCCTCACTCAGCCGCAGGGGGCAGGGCCCAGGCACCCAGGCAGAGCCTCTTACATAAGCAGCCCTGTGGGGGGCGAGGCTGCAGCTGGGCTCCTCCACTCTGTCCTCCCCCAGCATCACGAGCCTCCAGTGGGCTGTCCTTGAGCCCTGGGTGGAGGCCAAGCCAGGCCCATAAATAGGGGTCTCTCTAGTGGCCTCTACTCCCCCTGCCGGCCTCCCTCCCTCTGCCTGCAGTGCTGGCATCCCGGCCCTGGTCACACACTCGGCTCCAGGACAATGACCGCTCTGCACGCGCTGTGGATGGGGCTGGTCCTGCTGGGGGTCCTGGGAGTCCTGCAGACGCAGGCCCAGGCCCCCGTCTCCCTGCAGCCCAACTTCCAACAAGACAAGGTGAGGGGCTCCCCGGCCCGGTCCCCGAGGCGGCACAGGGCCCCGTCAGGGGAGGGGGGGCGCTCTCTGGGGCCGAGTTGTCTTCCTGGGAAGAGGGGAGCTGAGCAGAAGGAGGAGGCTGACCAGAACCACCCCCGTCCCTGGGCCTGCGGCAATTCGCCAACCAAGAGAGCAGAGCCACTGTTCCGGGACCAGCAGGGAAGCACCTGCGTCCGTGAGGGCACACGCGGCACATGGGGACCCCGGGGCGGAACGCGTGCCCCCGCCATCAAAACGCGGTCACCCCGCTAAGCTCACGACGCCCAGAGGAAAACAGGCACACGCTCCACACCTGGGTCCCAGGACACATGGTGCACGAGCACGCCGACGGGGATGGCCCACGGGGATGGCCCCAGACACCCGAGTGCGCGCAGGGACGCGCCCCGCACACGCTCAGTCGGTCCTCCGGCCCGCGCGCCCCTTCCCGCGCCCCTTCCCGCGCATCGCGGGCGCCCAGCGGCCGGCCCCGGGCAGCCGAGCCCGCCCCAACCCCTCTAGGGACGGCCCCGGCGCCCTCTGCTGCCCGCTCCCGCCACCGAACCAGCCGGGCCAGGGCGGAGGGGACTGCGCGCCGCGTCACCGCCCCCCGGGGCGCGGGGCGGGGCGCGGCTGGAGGCAGGAGGGGAGGGGCGGGGGCGCTCCCCATCCAGGTCCGCCCGGGAGGGTCCTGGCCGACCCGGGCGGGGTCCGTTCGCCGCAGTTCCTGGGGCGCTGGTTCACCTCGGGCCTCGCCTCCAACGCGAGCTGGTTCCGGGAGAAGAAGAATGTGCTGTCCATGTGCATGTCCGTCGTGGCCCCTACCGCGGACGGAGGCCTCAACCTCACCTCCACCTTCCTCAGGTGGGACACCGGGCTTCTGGGGCCCAGAGCACCCCGCCCCATGACCACGGTCTAGGGACAGCCCCTGGCCTGACCCCTGACCCCTTCGGTGACCTGCCCACAGGAAAGAGCAGTGTGAGACGCGGACCCTGCTGCTGCGGCCGGCGGGAGCCCCCGGCTGCTACAGCTACAGCAGTCCCCGTGAGTGGGGCCCCCTCTAGGGACCCCTGGGCCCAGCCCTGGGCCAGGGAGACCCGCCTGCCCCAGCAGTACATGGGGTGGGCTGGTGGCCACTCCACCAGGGTCAGCTAGTCCACGGTCTGGCCTGGACCTGCCCCAGGCTCAGGTGTGGGGGGACCACGAACCCTCTCTCGGGCACTGGATCCCCTTTGGAGCTGAACTCCAAGCCCCTTCCTGCCCCCCCATAATGATATTTCCTCAGGCGGAGCACACATGGGCAGTCCCCCAGCCCCCCTCACTCCTCTCCACGGTTTTCCAGCCCAGGAGCAGGGCCAAGGGCCTCTTCATGCCCCAGCCCACCATTTACCCCCTTCCTTGGGGCCGGCTTCCCACTGGGAAATCTTTCCTCTTCCTTTCGGCCGAGGGGTTTGTGGCTGCACCATGAGCCCCTGATGTTCTGATCCTGTGTGTCTGCTGCCCCCCAGGACTTCTGGTCTGCAGAGTTCAGGGGCTGTGCAGCAGGAAGCTGGGACAGCCGCCTGTCTCACTGGGGGAGGGCATCATCCCTGGCTCCTTCCCACAGCCGGCCCGGGGAGAGCGCACCCCTTCCCAGGCAGAGGTGGGCCGGAGGTCTAGGGCCAGGGTCCCCAACCGGGCTTCTCTCACGGATTCCCAGACTGGGGCAGTACCCACGACGTGTGGGTGGTGGCGACCAACTACGACGAGTACGCGCTTCTCTACACCGCGGGCACCAAAGGCCTCGGCCAGGACTTCCACATGGCCACTCTCTACAGTACGCACCCCACACCAGGGACTCACAGTCTGGCCTGAGATGGGTGTCTCCCGGGGGGCTCCCCAAGCTGCGGGCGTGGGGGCAGCAGAGACCTTTCCCACCTGAGGCCAGCAGCTTCTCCCTCTTGCCCCAGGCCGCACCCAGACCCCGAGGGCCGACATCAAGGAGAAATTCACCACCTTTGCCAAGACCCAGGGCTTCACAGAGGATGCCATTGTCTTCCTGCCACAGACCGGTGAGGGGGTGCTGCTAATCTGATGGGGAGGGGATTAAGGTCGGATTTGAGGTAGACAGTGTCCTGATTCAGGGGAGGCTGAGGGGTGCGGTGCATCCGGCCAGACCGCCCACTGACCACTAACCAGCACACTGTGGCCTCCGGAGTGGGGGGCAGTCTGTCCTCACCCAGAGACCTTGGCCTGCAGCCGCTGGGTGGGGCACAGGAAGGTACTCCTTCTGCAGGAACATCCCCCCCGCCCACCGCCTCCCCAGTTTCACCAAGCAGCCGGTGTTCCAGGCCCTTGATGAGCCCTCAGGACACAGGGTCCCCAGCCTGGTGCGGGGCAGGCACTAGAAACAGACCCAGCGGGGTGGGGGTGGGGTGCTTCAGGAACACATGAGGGCTCAGGGCCCAGGGCTTCCCTAAGGCAGGCAGCCTGCTCCAGGCCCAGGTGGGGACAGAACCCCCTCTTTGTTTGGAGGAGGGGAGAGAGTGACAGAGTGTGATGGACTCAGCAGTTTTGGGGGGCTCAACGCGACCAGCTCTCCAGGGCTGTCGGGAGGGGGCAGGCAGCCCCGGTGGGGAAAGTGGCCCCAGCCTGGGGCGCTGACCACGGTCCCCGGGGGTCTTTCTTGGCAGATAAATGCATGGAGGAGCACAAGTAGGTGAGTGTTGTGGGCTGGCTTCACCTGGCAGTCCCCCCTCACACCTGCTAACACTACCCCACCATGCAAGGGTGGTCCCAGGCACACGGGGGTTGTCCAAGGGGGAGGGGCTCCACTGGGGTTCACGAGATTCCTGGGGGTAAGAGAACTGGAGGCTGGGATAGGAACCTGTGGCGTCGATGGGAAGGGAGGGTCTGGAGGCGCTCGCTCCCCTGTGGCTGGGAGGGGCCGTGTTGCCTGCCCCACCCACTGGTCCCGCTCTCTCTGCCAGGAGACCCCGGCCCCCAGGACCTGGCCATCCTGCCCTGCTCTGCTCTTCCCTCCAAGACCCCCAAGGCCCCAGCCCTGGCTCCTCCCTGCCCCCACCTCTGTGCCCTCTGGCTTTCTCCTGGCTCTGAGAATAAACTCCGGAAGCAAATCAGCCGTCCAGCTCCTGCCCGTCTGTCCTGCCGTCTGTCCTGCCGTCCTCGCTGCCCACGGCTTGGCTCTGGCCTGCTCCCTGGGGACCTGACCACACCCCACTAACTTTGGGCCTCAGTTTCCCCTTCCCCTCTGGAAAGTGTCTGAGGCTGGCTCTCAGTGATGTCGCCTAGGGGTGGGCAAGGGCCCACTCGTGTTTGCTCCTGGTGGGGCGGGTCCGAATCAGGGCCGCTGAGGAGAAATACTATCACGGCCCTCCCACAATGCACGCCGGGCTCTGACCTCACCGCACCCCCTCCAGCCACACTCCTGCAAGCTGCCCCTCCAGCCGGCAGGTTCTGGGCTGGGGCCCAGTCACCTCCTAATCCCTAGGCAGGTGCCTGGGGCCTGCCCCCACACCCCAAGTCTAGAGAGGCCTGAGGCCCAGGGAAGCTTTGCCTCCACTGGGTCTTGGAAGGTGTGGGGTTAGTACACTCAGACTAGACTAGACTCAGGCCAGAGATCAGGGTCCCAGAGGACAAGGAGGAAGGGGCTGCCCTGTCCATGCCCCCCACACTGGGACGGACAGACTGAGTGGGCTGACGACCAGACACCCTCATCCCTCTGGGTACTGTGGTGACTCCTGTCCCACCTTTCCGGCCCCACCCTTTCACCAGACCCCTGGCACCAAAGCCACCCTGGGCCCTGGAGCACGGTCTCCCTGACCAGCCCTGCCCCACGTCTCCCGCTGTCCACCAGGTTCCAGGCCCTGCCCTGAGCCCTCCTGGCTCACAGTGGGCAGCACCCACGGCATCCTGCCCACCAGGCCCCCACCCCGGCAAACTTCAGCCAGGCCCTATAGAGGCACCAAGAGTTGTGAGGCTCAGAGGTGAGGGTGAGCTTCTTGGCAGGCTTCCTGGAGGAGGGGGTCTGGGGGCTATGTCTGAGCTGAGAGCTGGGGGCAGACATCCCAGAAAGCCTGCCAGAAGTTCTCTCCCTGCATCGAAGGATCTGAAGTCTCAGGAGGAAACGCCACCGGGGATGGGCGGGGTTCCGTGGATACAGCTGAGCCCCTGCACTGCAGGGTGCAACCAGATCCCAGCCTGATCTCAGTAGGCTTGGTCCCAGGCCAGCAGCCACCCGAGGGCATCTGGGGGGTCATAAAGGCTGGGCAGGAGAGGCCACCCCAGCTCTCCTGCTAAGAACCATCCTCCACAATGCTGCAGATGCTGCTGATCAGTTGGGTCTTCGCCTTGCTCAGGGTGTCCCTAGGCCAGGCCCAGGTCCCCATCCAGGCCAACTTTGATGCCAGCCAGGTGGGCCCAGGCACCCCCATGCCAGACCCATCCTGTCCTCCTCATGGATGACCCCCTTGCTTCTCCATCCAGGTCCCAGGGGCCAGCCATCAGCTGGAGGGTGGGCTGTGTGGGGAGGACAGCGGGCTCCTTAGGCTGGTGTGTGGCCTGTGCCTACCACCACTCCCCAGGTCCTCAGATCTGGACGAGCTGCAGCCACCCGCCGCCATGCTGGGTCAGAGTTGATGTGGGTGCAGGGCCTGTCCCCCCAGCTCTCCCTGCACCCTCCCTGTAGTTCCAGGGCATCTGGTATGTGGTCGGGGTGGTACCGGATGACCAGGGCTTCCTGGACTCCAAGGACAACCTGAAGGTGCCCGTGGTCTTGGTGACCCCCTTGGCCCATGGTGACCTGGCCCTCAAGTTTGGGTACTCCACGTAAGTGACTCCATGAACCCCACCTCAGACTGGGCCTTAGACCCGGCCAGTGTGAGGCCAGAGGTGAGCCACCGAGAACCAGAGGCGTCCCTGGCACCGTAGGGAGTCAGACCCAGGCCCCCCGTGGTCAGGCTGAGGGGCTTGCCTGTGGCCTGGTCATGGAGGAGTCTCGTCCCTGTGTCTGCCTGTGGGAGTCTGCCGGGGAGACCCCATGTCTCCTGGCTCTGTGTGTCCTTGAGCAACACCTGCCCCCCATCCCTGAGAGGGTCTCTCAGCTCTGAGCACAGAGTGAGGGGGGCCCAGGGGTGCCGGGCAGCCTGAGCACCGGTCCACCCTACGTGGTCAGCAGTGCCCAAGGGGTGGCCCTTTGAGACGTGGCCGGGCGGCGTGTGCCGGACACGCAGGATGCTGTGGGTCTTCTTCCCCAGGCCCGATGGCGGGTGCCAGAAGACGGACACAACCTTCACTAAGGGTGCTGTGGACGGGTAGTTCAGCAACGAGGGTGAGAGGGGCCAGGGCAGGGAGGGCTCCCGAGCCAGGTGGGGGTGGGGGCCCGGCCAAGCCGGCAGGTTCAGCCGGCTCTCGCCCTTCAGCCATGGCGCAGACCGAGATCCGCGTGGCGTCCACCGACTACAAGCATTTCGCAGTGCTGTACATGGAGACACAGAAGGGGGGCGTCAGGAACGTCTGGCTGCAGCTCTACCGTGGGCAGCCCTGCCCGGTGGCGCTCCCGGCACCCCTGTGCCCCCACTAGTCACCGGGCACAGCCTCTCCTCTAGGAGCCCCGCGCCCAAGCCTGGTCTGGACTGTTGGGCACATTCCAGCAAGTTCCAACTCCATGGCAGGGGGATCCACTATCCCCCAGGGTCTCCTTGGGACCCCTCCGCACCCAGCCCCTCCCAGCCCCTCTGCCCCGCCCTGCCCCTCCCCCTGCCGCCCCCCTGCCCCTCTGCTCACCAGTCGGCCCTGCCCTCAGCCCGCGCCCCAGAGCTGTTTCCTGAAGGGGCCCAGAAGATGCAACAGCTGGTGCCCCAAGTAGGCCTGAACCCCAGCCAGGGCACCCTGCTGCCCCGGTCAGGTGAGTGCTACCCCACACCGGCTCAGGGTTACGGCAGACCCCAGACCCAGACTGGGAGGGCCAGGCCCCAAGGCCCCCCCCAGGGACGGGGCGGCACCTCCAGGGGCAGCCCTGGCCTATCTGGGCCAGAGGAGGGCCAGACGGTGCCCTGGCCGTGGCCCCCCGGGAGGGGATGGCTCGCAGGCTGGGGGGCTTGGTTATTCAGGGAGGGTTGGGGGCCTCCACCCCTCGGGAAGGGGGCCCCGGGTGGTTCCTCAGGCCCCACTCTCTCCCGCAGACCAGTGCAAGGTGCCTTCTCCTAGGTGAGTACTCGGGGGCAGGCGTGGACGCCACTGCCCAGACTACGCAGTGCCCCGTGCCTTGCTGGCTCCCGGAGGCCCCTCTTGGCCAGAAGGCTGTCCGGTGGGGTCCTCATCCTGGGAGCAGGGTGGGGTGATAGCACAGAATCAAGGTGGGCCGGCAGGCTGCGGCGGGGAGGAACAGAGTGGGGCCCAGGGGCTGGGCCCAGGGAGGGCAGGAAGAGGCCAGAAGACGGTGCTCACCCCACTATACCTGCCCTCTTGTTTGCAAGGAAGGATCCCGCCCAGGAGTGCCAGTGGTGGGGGGGCCCATGCTCCGCGTCCTGGGCCTTCCCCAAAGAGCATGCACCACTCCTCTCTGCCACCCCTCCCCCAGCACAATAAATCATCTCCTAAAGGCCATGGCTGCGGTGCATTTCTTCCACGGGCTTCTGGGACCAGGGCGGGACCCCTTGCTCAGCCGGCCTGGCAGGTGCTTAGCCTGGGAGGAGCGGAGGCTCTGCTCCGAGGGAAGCAAGCTTATCCAGACAAACAGGGGGGTTGCAGGGCCCTCCCCACCACTCTCCCCCCCCACCAGGGCACCGGACTGGGGGTGTCGCCCTTGCTCAGCAGCCCAGAGCTCCCGCGGGCACAGCGGGCCTCCTGGGCCTTTGGGGTCCTCCCAAACCACAGCACAGAGCAGGGATCTGGGCCACTTCCATCCCCCCACTTCGCCCCGATCTCTGGCCCCTAAGTACCCGCAGTTCACTCCCAGCCAGAGCCAGAGGAAAGGGGGTGTGTGCGAAGCTCTGTTCTGCCCTGTCATTATCATCCTTCTTTAAAGACACGTCCTGCAGGGGGCGCCTGGGTGCTCAGTCGTTCAGCGTCTGCCTTCGGCTCAGGTCATGATCCCGGGGTCCTGGGATCGAGCCCCGCATCATGCTCCCTGCTCGGCGGGAAGCCTGCTTCTCCCTCTCCCACTCCCCTTGCTTGTGTTCCCTCTCTCGCTGTGTCTGTCAAATAAATAAATAAAATCTTTAAAAAATAAAACCACAGCCAGGTCCTGCCAGATTTGCTGCCTTGACTGGGGTCCTTCTGGGCTAGGAGGTCACAGAGATCAAGAGCCGCCCTGAGGGCCCCAAACAGCCCCTCCACACCTGCACCCAACACCTGGCACCCAGCCGGTGCCTTGGAACCCTCTGGCCCACCTGTGGACACTTCGAGGCAGGGACCTGCCCTGGTCCCCTCCCTGCCCCCAGCTTGACAGCACTTCCCCGGTGGAACTGAAGCCCTGGGGGTCGGGACAAGTGTGTGGAAGGCCCAGAGAGCCAGCCTCCTCCCACACGTGTGACCCATGAGCTCACCCACCCACCCTTCCTCCCGACACCTGGGGTGCCGTCTGCCCACCTAGAGGAGCACCTGCTGAGAGATACCGTCCGAGCTCCAGGCGATAAATCAACTGATCGATGGATTGATTAGTTATCATTTGGCTTCCATATGGACCAAGAGAAGATGGGGTGGAGGAGGCCATGGCAGCAACAGCAAGGATTTAAAGTGGAGAGGTGGGGATGCTTGCTCTCCTGGAGAGTGGTGCAGGAAGTCTCACCACCAGCTTCTCCACTCCCACCAGGCTCTGGACCCCCTGCCCTCCCCCACTGACCCTTCCCAGCGCCCCTGGGAAGGATCTGGAGTGGAGAGATGCAGACTGCCCACCATGGCCTTCTGGACACCTTTTCCTCGGAGAGAGGCTCCGTTCTGGGGTGGGGCAGCCCCACGGGGCATCCTCTGGGTCCCAGGAGGGCTGTCCCCCCAGGTGCCTGCAGATCCGCCCCGGGCTCATCATCTCGTCCTGCACCACCCCGCTCAGACCACGCGGGGGCAGCCCTCAGCCAGTTCTCTCCCCGGAAGCCCCGGAACTCTGCGTGCTGCCTCAGCCCTCCCTGCCCTGCTCCCCACCGCCCCCAGAGCGTCCCATCAGATAGGAAAGGCCAAAGTCCTTAGCTGACCAAGAAGGCCCTCCCTGACCGGCCCTCCTCTGACCCCACCACCTACCCTCTTTCCTTCAGCCCTGCTGACCAACTCGTGTCCCTTGAGCATGCTGGCCCTGCGACGGCCTCAGGGCCGAGATGCAGGCGGGCCTTGCCTGGGGGTGCTCTTATCCAGCTCTCCGCTTGGCTAGCTCGCTCTGCTCCTCTGAAAGCTTTTGCTCAAATACCACCCTGTGTGCTCCCTCCTTGGCCCTCTGGGACCCCAAGCCCTGGCTGCCCTCTGGCCTCTCTAGTGACTCCTCCGGGGGGGCTTGCAATGCATGCCCTGGGGCGAGAGGCCAGCCCTGGCTGCCCTCCCCTCTACAGTCCCCAGCCCGGTGGCTGGAGCCTTTCTTAGCCTCTTCCTTGCCCACGTTGGAGGCCCCACCTACTTGTGCCCACGCCCATGTTCATCAGACGGCTCCCTGCAGGAGGGCTGAGGTGCTGAAGACCCAGCCATCCCGTACATTGTCTAGATATTTGTGTCATCTTTTTAAAACTTCAATTTGTCGGTTTTCTTACTATGTTTTGTAACAAATCTTTGCTTCAGGTCTTGAACTAGTTCCCTGGGGCTACTGTGACAGATTATCACAAACTTGGTGGCTTTAAACATTACATTTACCTTCTCGTGGTTCTGGAGGCCAGAAGCCCAAAATCGGTTTCCCTGGGCCGGAAATCCGGGGCGGGCAGGGCCACACTCCCGCTAAAGGCTCCAGGCGGGGAGCCTTCTTGCCTGTCCTACCTCCTGGTGGCGGCCAGCAGCCCAGACTGGTGGCTGCATCACCCCAGCCTCTGGCCCCCTGGCCACACTGCCCTCTCCTCTTCTTTGTGAAACCTCCCTCTGCCTCTCTCTTATGAGGACGCCTGGGACGGCATTCGGATAACCCAGGAAAACCTCCCCATCTCAAGATCCTTACCCACAACTGCAGAAACCCCTTTTCCATACAAGCTGACATTGACAGGTCATCGTTCAGCCTGCCTCATTCTTCCTGGAAACACTGTCCTAGGCCCCAAGCGCTGGGCCTGGAGGAACTGATATTTAAAGTGGTCCTCGGGATTGGGGACTCCACACTCACATCTCTGGACATGGTCCTCCTCTAGAGTCCGTACACAGCCACCCCCACCATCTCCATCAGAGTGCATATAGCAAAGGAGTGGCCCATCTCCAAACCTGCCCAGCCCAGTGGTCTAGGGCAAGGGCATTTCTGCACTCCCCACCTGCAGGGGTCAGCCGTGATCCCTCCCTCCCTCACCCCGGCTCTCTCCACCTGCACTCTGAGCCCCTGGCCCAGCGTCCATCAGCTCTGCCCTGAGGGACTCAGCAGCCCTCTACTATTCTCCCTGCCCCCCAGGCTCCACCCCTGCAGTGGCCTCTCCTCGTGACACTCTACATGGGCTTTATACCCATAAATCAGTTGTACCACACCCCACCCCACCCCTGCTTGCACCCTCCTGCAGCTCCCCGCTCTGCATTCCTTCATCCACAATATTTACTGAATATCTCTGTGCTGGGCAGTGTTTGAGCATTGGAGATGCAGTGGCAAGTAAAACAGACATAAAGGCCTGCCCTATGGACCTCTGGGGGAAATGGGCAATAAACAGGATAAATAAATGTATTAGTTGCCTACTGCTGAATAACAAATTACCCCCAAACTTAGTGGCTTAAAACAACGAGCTTGTATCATCCCCCCAGTTTCTGAGGGTCAGGAACCTGGTCCTGGGTGTTCTGGGGCCTCTGGCCCTTCTCAGGAGACTGCCATCAAGCCGCCGGCCAGAGCTGTGTGCTCCTCAGAAGGCTCCACTGGGAGGGGTCTGCTACCAGCTCCCTCACTAGCCCTTGTGGGGCCTGGTCCAGGGCCACGTGGGCGTGTCCCCAGGGCTGCCACACGTGTCGTGGTGAGCAATTCAAGAAGGAGGAAGAAGGGACGGCCCATCACTTTGGCAGCATTCTACTGGCTGGAAGCAGGTTACTGAATGCAGCCTACGCTCAGGGGAGGGACAGTAAACGTTTGAACACAGGCGGCGGGATGGTTGGGGCCATCTCAGAGGCCGCTGCCACAGTGAGGAAACCAGAATGTACTTTATATAGCAACAAGTCTGGAAAACAAGTACATAAAACAGGAGAGAGGACGTGAGATGCTGGGCGGGCTGTTGACCTTTAACGTAAGGTGACTAGGGAAGGCCTCACTGAGAAGGTGACCCTTGACTGAAGACGTGAAGGAAGCATGGGAGTCTGGGGGATGGGGTGGCAGGCAAAGGCCCTGAAGCAGGAGCCTGAGGTTGTCAACCAGGGGAAGGTCGGGGAGGGGCCAGGCTTGGCAGCAGGCACGTGGAGGACACATCAGCATTGCCTGAAAACCCACCAGCCCGTCCTCCCTAGGGCCGCCCTGGGGTCACCCTGGCCCTCTTGCAAAGCTTTGAGCACAACTGTGCTGTGCCCACTGTGGGCCTTCCTCCATGGCTGCTCCTTCTGCCTGGGATCCCCTATCCTGGCGCGCACGGCCCCCTTCTTGCCCAGGTCACAGCTCACATGGCTCAAACTGCTACCTGAGAGTCTCATGTTTCCGGTGTTTATTATTCGTCCATCCCATTAGATCTCACGCGCTCCAGGCGACCAGAGACCTTGTCTGCTGGTGAAGGTGTGCCCGAGACCTAGGACACCAGGAGACACAAAAGAGGTGCCGGGCAAATACTGTGGAACGGACGAACTGCCCAACTTTATTCACTTTTGTATTCTGACCTGTTAGTTCGGCGTTAGGAACCTTTGTGGACCTGAAGACAACCTGAGAAATATCTCGGGGAGGGCGAGAGCCGGTGTGGAAGGCAGGAGGAGGCCGCTGGGACAGCCGGGGGCGAAGCTCAAACGGAGGGAACCGCGGACTCGGCGGGTGGCGGGCGCGCAGCTGCGGGGGTCGGTGGCGGAGGCGCGCAGAGGCCTCCACGCGGGCGTGCGGACAGCGCTGGCGACCGGCCAGCCCGGGGACCCCGCCCCGCCGCAGGCTCGCAGGCCCCGCCCCGCCCGAGACCGACCCCGCCCTGCGCTCCAAGCTGGGTCCGCCGCGCCCCGCCCCGCCAGCCCCGCGCGCGTCCAGGGTCCTCGGGGCCGGGCCGGGGCCGTAAGCCCCGCCCCGCGCAGGCCCCGTGGGCGCAGTTCGGGGCGGGCCCCGCCCCCGGCTCCGGAGCCGGCTGCCGCGCAGGCGCCCTAGGCCTGCGGCCGCCCTGGCCGGCTCTCCGCTCGCCGCGGTGTCATGGTGCCGCCGCCGCCGCTGTCGCCGCCTCTTTGCACGCTGCCGCCGGGCCCCGGGCCCCCGCGCTTCGTGTGCTTTTGCGAGGGGGAGGGAAGCGAGGACGGGGGCCCTGGCGACTTCAACCTCTAGTGAGTGGCGTGGTGCGCGGGGCTCTGGGGGCGCGGACAGTTCGGCGGGCGGTCCCATCTGACGGCCGCTCCCCCCACAGTGTGACCGACGCCGCGGAGCTTTGGAGCACCTGCTTCACGGCGGACAGCCTGGCGGCCCTCGTGGGTAGCGGGGCTCCTGGGCGGGCCTGGAAGCCCCCAGCACCCCTTCCTGCACTGCAGTCCACCTAGGAGATCGAGGGGGGCGGTCTGGGGTTCCCCCGGGGGGCGGGGTGTCTGGACACCCTTCCCCCAGCTTTGTAGCTGTAGTCCTGATTGGCCCGGCGCCCCGGGTGGCTCTGGGTCAGGCAGTTTTGGGGTGGTTCCAGGGTCTTGAGCAGCTGGTGACCAGCTCCTGTGCCCTGTAGAAAGCCCGTTTTGGCCTGAGTGCGGCTGAGGAGATCACCCCCCGGTTCAGGTGAGCCCCTGAGCAGGGAGGGAGGGTGGGTGTGGAGCAAGGGGATCTGCACATGGCACTCAGCAGCCGTCCTTTCCTAGGGCAGCCTGCGAGCAGCAAGCTGTGACTTTCACCCTGCAGGAGGACGGAGCGTCCCTAACCCTCTCCGGGGGGCCCTCAGCACTGGACTTTGACCTCTCCAAGGTGCCGGGCCCAGAGGCAGCTTCCAGGTTGCAGGCGCTGACGCTGAGCCTGGCCGCCCAAGTGTGCACCTTGAAGAGCCAGCTGGCAGGTGGGGTGGGGAGGGCGTGCCCTGAGTCCTCACTAGGGCCCCCCTGCTCGTGCCTTCACTCTTGTCTTTCTTCCCCAGCTGTGGAGGTGACAGCTGCCAGCCCCAGAAAGAGCCCTTGTCTGGTGGGGCCTCAGCTCTTCTTACCAGGTAAGGCCTGTCACCTAGGACTTTGGTTGGGGCTGTGCTCTTCCCTCTGCAACTCATTTTCCCCAGAACCAGATTCAAACTCCAGAGAGAGGATGCATGTGGAGGGGGGGTTGTGGCCCTGGAATTGCACCAGACGCAGGAACCCCCTTCCTGTTCTGTTTCCCTCAGACCCGGATCCTCAGAGAGGCGGCCCTGGACTCGGGGTCAGGAGGCGGTGTCCAGGAGAGTCCCTCATCAACCCCGGCTTCAAGAGGTACTCACCCGCTCACCCACCCGTCCCTCCCTCCTGGGCCCAGGGTCAAGCCCTGGACCGCTGCCCCCCCCCCCCCCCCCATAACACCACAGTGTCACTTTCCTTTCTCTCCCAGTAAGAAACCAGCCACCGGTGTAGACTTTGAGAGCCCCTGAAGGTGCAGCAGAGTGTGACCCTGCCAGGAATCTGCCTGTGAGGTGGGGATAGCCTCTGAGACCCCACAGTCGCCACCTGCCCATCCTGCTGTGCGGTGGGAACACACCTGCTCCTCAAACCCCTTCTCCATCAAATAAATGCTTCCTCAGAGGAAGGCACCGGTCACGCTCTGACTTCTGGGGGCTGGCTGGGGGAGAGGGGTCAGGGATCTCCCGGGGCCTGTGATTTGGCACAGGGCCAGAGTATGTAAGCAGATGCACAGCCCCCACAGTCCCTGGGAGGAGGAGGCCCCAAGCTCTCCAGGCTCATCCAGCTGCTCCTGCCTGGTTCTCACAGGAGCCCAGGGCCTGGAAGGCAGGGCAGGGCTCCTCAAGGCTGGAACTCGGTTACCAGCTGTTCTAGGCACACACTTCACTTTCCCAGACCCCACCCGACAGGGCACAGTATGGGTATCCCGCACTGTACACACACTAGGACCTGTGGAGGTCAGACGGTGGCTTGCTCCCTCGGGCAGGACTGAGGAATGTGGGCTGGCCCCACCCACTGGCCTAGAGCCCCTGGGTGCCCAGGCTGGGCTCTGCTCCCCACCCTCCTTGGCCATCCTGCTGCCCCACCCTGGCCTGACTGGTTTGGGAGCCCAATCCAGTCCCCCACCACCCTTGATAGGATGAGTGGACGGATGGGCAGAACCACCTGCTGGGTTCTCCACCCCTATCATTCTGGGCGATCACGTGGAGCTGTGCGTTCCATGGTGGGGCTTTGGGGGTGGCAGAAATCGAGGGCCCTCTGGTCCCTCGCAGGTCAGGACACGCTCACTGGGGCAGAGGTGCCTTTATGGGGCTGTAGAAGAGTGGGCAGGGGGTGGCCGTAGACGGTGGGGAAGGGCTAGCGGGGGCGCACGGCAGTCCGGTAGGCCGCTAGGATCTCAGCACTGTACGGACACGTGTACTTGAACTCCTTCACCTGCAACGCGCTGTCCAGGTAGCGGCGGACGGCGCGCAGCTCGGCCGGTATGGGCGCTTGGCGGAAGTGCGTGCACACCGTCTGCGGGCGAGGGGCGCGACGCGGTCAGGGCCTTGTGGAGCGCGGCCCCCCGCGCGCCCCGCGCCCGGCACTCACGTCCACGATGTGCAGCTTGGGCAGCAGGCTGCAGTCAGCCAGCGTGAGCTGGTCGCCGTCCAGGAAGCGGCGGCGCGACTCACGAAGCTGCGGTTCCTGCGCCCGCTCGTGCTCCAGGGGCGTGCGCAGGTAGCTGTCCAGCCTGGTGAGGGCGCGCAGCAGCAGCTGGTACAGGGCTGGGGCGGGGAGCGCAGTGAGGGCGGGGCCTGGGCCAACTCCCCCGCCCCCCTCCGCCGTGGCTCCAGACCCTCCTCACCATCGTCCTGCGTGGGCACCGGGTTCTTGATGAAGGCGGAGAACCTGTGAAAGACGTCGTTGCCCGCTGTGCTGGACTCCCTGTAGCGGGGTGCCAGGCTGGGGAATCTACGGGGAATTAGGGAATCTCTGGTCAGACCCTCGTGCCGCGCCCCCTGCCCTGCCCGACCCTCAGGGTTCTTCCTGGGCTCCTCCCTGGGGGCTCCATATTCGCCCCTCCCACCAGGCCGGGGCCCTCACTCAGGGGGCCCCAGTGTCTCCTCCAGAAACTCCTCGATCTGCAGTGTGTCCGTTTTGGCATCGCCATCGTAGAGAAGGATGGGCAGCTGTGAGCCAGGAGCAAAGTCCTTAAGCACATCCAGGGACCTGTGGGCATGAGGCAGGCGGGGAAGCCACTGGTCAGAAGGGCCAGAGACGAGGGAGTGGCTCCCCTGGAGACAGGGGGCTCACCTGCGAGTGTCCACCGTGGTGAGGGTGAAGGGCACGCCCTTGAGGAGCAGGAGCATGAAGAGCCGCTGACAAGAAGGGCAGTGTCCCACGCTCTCGCCATCCTCGCTCGCCTGGGGTGGGTGGAGTAGAGGGGGCCGGGGCAGAGAGCAGACCTAAGAATTCTGCCAATGAGGACCCTACCTCCCACTGCCAAGAGCCTGGAATGATCCAGGGCTCCAGCTTGTTTGGGCACAGCCTGGACAAGTGGTGGGTGAGAGCCCTTGACTGGGTCCCCGGGAGGTGGGGAGGGGCCTCCCCACCTCCTAGGGACACGGGGGTGGGACCCAAGCTCTGGAGCCTGGCCCCTCGACCCTCATCATCAGCACCTGGGCGGAGGCCAGGCTCCTGCTCTCCAGGTCCTACAGGCTGGTCACAAGGGTGGGGTGGGCCGAGTGAGCTGTTTTCTGAGTAATTCACCTGCCAAACTGGACAGTGACTAGCAGCACACTCTGTCCCACGCCCCGACAGTGGGGAGGAGGCCAGGGTCTGGCAGCCCCTGCAGAGGGATCCACAGATCTGGGCAGTGATGCGAGGATCAGGGGATCACCTGGCCCAGCCCCCCTCTGCTGCTGCACTGACCTCAAGCTCCACTTGGGCCTTGGCCGCCGGCTGTCGGATTGGCACCTCCCCACCTAGGGGCTTTTTCTCCAGGGGGGTTGGGCTGGGTCCCAGAGCCAAGGCTGGGAGTCGGCACCCCCACGCCCTTGGGGACAGCTCACTGGGCCCTCCTCCAGTCCTGGTCCCTCTTTCCTCAGCCTCTGTAGGGCTGCCTGAGCTCACCGCCAGGGAGACGGTGCAGACCCACTGCCTGCCCCGGAAGCAGAGCCCCCCCCAGAGCACACTCATCCCCGAGGCCGCCCTCCTGGCCCAGTGGCACCTTGACAAACAGCTGGAGCTTGGCAGTCTCCGCCATGGCTGGGAGCTGTGGTGGCGCGGTGGTGGCGAGGCAGGGGTGGGGGCCTGGAGAGCCCTTTTAGGCTCCCGGGGTGCCCCGCCCTCCCCAGCCCAGGGCCCGCCCTGACGAGTCACCGGGCAGGCGGTTAGGGCTCCGTGTCCAAGCATGAAGGTGTGACTGTGGGGGTACTGAGTGTGCAGGGCTGGCGGTGCTGGGGACCCCAGCACCCCAAGGGGGTGTGTGGGATGGAGGTGGAGACCAACGGACTCGGAGGTGGGGAGAGAAGGGTGCCAGTCTGGGAAGAGGGCAGCTCTGGATCAGAATCACGCCTGCCATGAACCCCACAACCCTCCCTGCAGGGAACACCCTGTTGTCTGTCGCCCCCCCCAGAAAGCTGGGGTGGGGGTAGGAGAAAGGAACAGCCTGGCCCCAGCCTCAGTTTCCCAATCTGCCTACCTCCTGGGAAGGGACGCCCCTCCCATCACCGAGTTCGGCCAGGCAGAGCCCCGCCCCCCAGTCCTACCCACATTCCAGGAGTGCTGCTGGCCTGCTCAGGTGGCCCTGGCCAGCCGACCCCACACCCCCTGCCCTGCCGGTGGGGTTCCAGGCAGGCTTTTCCCCTTCTTAACCTTTCAGAAGAAGCACCGGGACATTTAGAAGCCACAACCTCCTGACCCATGGGTCCGCCCGCCCCCGCCGTTGGCTGGAAGGAACCGACGCGGGGACGTTGTGTGCGCACCCCCCCAACCTTCTCCGCCCCCGCCCACCCCCCGCAGCTCGGGGGGGCGGCGTGCCCCGAGGGAGGGGCCTACGAAGGCTCCGCACCGCCCAGTGGCAGAGCTGGGGATCTGCCCCGCACCTTTGCCTCCTCCCCCAGGGCTCTGCCGGGGCCCCAGACCGTTCAGGGCTCCCGGACACAGACTGGAGCTGGGCACCTGGCTGCCCTCCCGGGGCACCAGTATTTCTACTGCTTCTCCACGACGTGGCGGGGGCTCGGCCTGCTCATCTGCTTCCCCCGCGCGCACCGCAGCCCCAGGGAGGGGCCCCAGGCCCCTCCACAGCTGCAGGTGCTCACCAGCCGTCCCACGGGTATTTCTGTGTGTATAAAAATACCCTTGCCCGTCTGTAGAAAATCGGAAATGAACCAGTGACCAGGTGGTTCAGAGAAAAGGAAATCTACCAACACCCAACAGGGTGTGTGGGAGTCTCACTTCACACTTATTTCAAGAGACAAACTAGGACAGGACCGGGTTCAGGGCTGCAATGGGCAGGTAACCACGTGCTCAGCGAGGGTGTGAGGACACATCGCTCGGGTGGCTGTGGGCTGGTAAGACTGTCCAGACGGTTCAGCCCCCTGGGAATCAGCCCCAAGTGTCCCTGTAAATGCACGAGGGACATATACACAGATCCGTGCTGTCCTCTAGGTGGCAAGCACCCCGTCTGTGGGAGAGTCCTGATATGTTCACAGAAGAAGACAGAGGAGGTGAGTCTCTCTAGTCTCAGGTTTGGTGGTGTCGTGGCTGAATTGTGCCCCCCCCCCACTTCACGGTGGAAGTCCTAGCCCCCAGCACCTCAGAATGTGACATTAGGACAGAGTTTTTACGGAAGTCATCATGTTAGAATGAGGTCATCAGGAGGGGCCCTACCCCAGTCTGTGTCCTCATAAATGGGAGATTTGGACACAGACACACATGGCGGGGGGGCGCAACGCGAGGATGGAGGCAGAGGTCGGGTGGTGTCCGCAAAGCCAGGAACACGGAACGTTGCCAGAAAACCACCAGCAGCTGGGAGAGGTGGACCAGACCCTTGCCCACAGCCTCCGAAGGAACCAGCCCTGCCCACACCTTGATCTTGCACCTCTGGCCTCCAGACTGTGAGGGAATACATTTCTGTTTTTTGGTTTTTTTTTTTTAAAGGTTTTATTTATTTGACAGAGCGAGCACAAGCAGAGGGAGAGAGAGAGAGAGAGAAGCAGGCCCCCCGCTGAGCAAGGAGCCCGATGTAGGGCTCGATGCGGGGCTCGATCCCAGGACCCTGGGATCATGACCCGGGCCGAAGGCAGCCGCTTAACCGACTGAGCCACCCAGGCGCTCCTACATTTCTGTTGTTTTAAGCTGCTCCGTTTGTGGTACTTTCCGGCAGCCATAGCACACCAAGAGCAGTGAGAGAAAAAACCGACCCAGCTGAAAAACACTGCATCAGTATGTGTCCGTCTGGGTCTGCTCCTATCCTTCTGAGAAAAGCCAAGAGGACGTCCTCAGACCTTTTGAATTTCCTATCATGATTTCGTAGGCAGTGTTTTTAAATGAATGAGACCAGAAGCTCACAGTCACCAACTTTGGCCCCTGACCTACGCAGGGCCCGAAGCAAACCTCCCTGCCGCCGCCCGGCCGCCCTTCCCTTCCTTCCGGGGGTTGGGAGGGTGGGGGGCATTCTCGGCCTGCAGTCCCAGGAGCAGCTGGACCTGGCCTCATCCATGCAGTGGCCACACTTCTCTCCTGAGCCCTGGCTGGGGGCCCCTCACGGCAGTGTTCAACAGTCTGTTCCAAAAGGAGACACAGACTTGTAGGGGGACGGGGAGGGGCCCTGTGGCGGCAGGGGGTCGTGGCAGGACTGTGGACAGGTGATTCCTGACTCTGCCCACTGAGAGAGCCAGGTGAGCCCACCCGGAGTCTAGACAGGGGTTCCAAATACCATTCTGCCCAGAGGAACCAGGGCTCCTTGGAAAATGGCCAAATCTTTTTTTAAGATTTTATTTATTTATTTGACAGAGACACAGCGAGAGAGGGAACACAAGCAGGGGGAGTGGGAGAGGGAGAAGCAGGCTTCCCGCGGAGCAGGGAGCCCGATGCGGGACTCGATCCCAGGACCTTGGGACCATGACCTGAGCCGAAGGCAGTCGCTCAACCGACTGAGCCACCCAGGCACCCCAGACCTGGACATTGTAACAGAAAGGAAGTCTCCAAAAGAAATGGCCAGGACAAGTCGAAAGGACACGGAAGTCACCATGCAGGAGTCCCACTGGCCATATCCAGGATAGTTTGAGCGTAAAAATGACAGCAATAGAATTGTACACTTACAAGAGTTAAAACGGTAAATATTAAGTGTATTTTTCCACAATTAAAAAAAAATCTTTATTGGGCGCCTCCCCTGACTCTAAATAAATAAATAAATAAATAAATAAATAAATCTTAAAATAAGAAAGACTAAAAAGAAAACCACCATTTTGCAGCCCACCCCCCACTGGGGTAAAAGGTTTTGAGAAACAAGCTCTTCACATGACCCTTCATCCTCCTGGGGAGTCTTCTGTGTCCCTTCCAGTCCCCTTGAACGGGTCTCTGCTGGGATACTGACCATGGCCAAGCTTGAGGGGTGCTGATTCTGGGACCCTTCCTTGTGGCCTGTCTCCAGGTCCATCGCTGCGGAGCGCCCCACCCCCCCATTCCTGGGAGCCTCCACACTGCCCCCAACCTTTGATATTCCCTCCTGGACTTGGTTCTTCGCCTAGAGATCACCTCGTCCTGCAAGCCCCCCCATCCTGGAGGAGATGGACACAGCCCAGCACACACAGCTGGCCTGTGGGCCCTCAGTGGGCCCTGAGTCCCAGGGGTTGGGGAGAAGGTGGCAGGGAGTGCACAGCCCCAGGGTGGGCAACCTGGCACAAAGAGGCCCACTCAAGACCTGCCTCCAGGCAGGGAGTCCGGGCTGTGTGAGTGGGGCAGGGGAGGGGAGTGATGGACAGTCCCTGCCTCTGCCCCAACAGCTGTTAGAGGGATGAGGGGCCCCACCCCCTCCTCCTGGTTAACCCGGCCACCTTCCCTTCACTCTGGCCTCAGCGCTCGGGGACACTGCATTTGTGCCTGTGAGGCAGAGACCATAAGCTTGCATCAAGGGGGCCCGTCCTCACCCCAACACCCCACTCCACATGCGCAGGCTTGCATGGGCTTTTTTGTTTATTTAAAACAAACATCTGTGCGCCATGTACAGGTCCGGCTCCCGGTGGGTGGGTGTGCAGGGGGCCAAGCTGGGAGGGAGAGCAATGGCAGCTGGAGGGGGTGGGGAGGGGGTCTGGCCCCTTGCCGGCCAGCGGGTCCAGCTTCTCCATTCCTGCCACCGGGCCCCCCACCTTGAGGCAGCCCCTCCCTGGCCCACGCCCACGGCTTCCCTCAGGTGGGGGCCTCCCTGCACGACAGCAAGATGAGAAAGCCTCTTCCTAAAGCAAAATAAATAAGGGCCTGGGGACAGGACCTACCCCAGTCCCCAACCTCAGCCCCAGGCTGGCCCATCAGTACTGAGGGTCAGAGAAAAGCCCATTCAGGAGGTCAGGCCCGGCCAGCAGAGAGTCTGGTAGTACCTGGTGGCCTGTGTCACCCCAGTGGCCCTAGGGGTGGCGGGCAGAGCTGGAAAGGGGCAGAGACGAGGGGCCGGCCAGACCCCAAGGCTTTAAGGCAGAGCAGGGTGAGGGTGTGCGCAGCCCAGGGCCAGGCCAACCTTTGGCACAATCAGGGGAGGGCAGCGCAGTGGCCTCAGGCAGGGCTGAGGACAGGTGAGGGGCTGGAGGGGGCATGAAGCCCTAGGTCCCGGACCTCCCGTTCCAGGGCCTTGTGGGTGGGCACTGGGGGCACGGGGTGGGGCCTCGGCCACCGCCTGACTTCTGTCCCCACTGCATGTCCTTGAGCCAGCGCCTGGTGGTCAGCAGAGTGTGTCCGTGTTGAAGGAGAGCTGGGCCTGGTGGGCAGAAGGCAGGCAGGCCGGGCTTGGGGGCGCATCCACAAACACCCCCACCCCCCAGCCCCGGTGTGGGACTGGGTACCCCTCCTCTGTCCCTCTGGAGTTCTCCCTCAGTGGTGAAGCCTCCTGTGGCGTCTGTTGGCCAGGTCAGGTCGCTGCAGTGTTTCCAGCTCTCCCCGGTCCCCAGGCTCTGCTCCCCCCTACTCTGCTCTGCCCGTCTCGGAAATCCCTCCAAGCTCCCAACGTGTTGTGCGGTCTGCAGTGAGTCTGTATCTGCCTGTGCCTGG